CGAACACCAAAGTTCGACCCGCGCAGGTCTTCGAACCTGCACGCAATATCTCACTTAGTACTTAATACAGATACGGTCATCTCAACTATTGACGTCCCTCACAATATTAATCAGTTCTGGCGTTGACTTATTATGCTAGTAAGTAATTAGATAAGAAGCCTGCGTTTTTCGTTCTTCTATAGAATGTTAGGAGATGGTACTTTCTAAATAGCACAACGGCAGGTTTAAAGGAGTAGGGCACATTAAGCGCAGCGAAGCCCTTATTCTAAGGCTATAGAAGTAGGGCGCTCTAATCTTTTTAACCCTAGGAACTTGTGTGTAGCTATAGAATGATTTCGTTAATAAACTATCTTGTATGTATGTAAGGGTCTCACATAGGTCAGGTATTTGAAACTGTGTTGAATTACAAAGTAATTGCAGTGCAGAGCTTGTAAGAAGCTCTGCGCGGAATATATCTAAGTGGGTGTGTGCATGGGCCACCAAACAGGTGGCTCGTGCGCGAACATCAAAACAACGCTAAGGCATCTGGCAGGTGGCCTGTGCGGGGCAACGGCCCAAAACCATCACACGTCCCCCCCCGAAAAGCGCTCAAAGTTCCGACTGAGGCGCAAACTTATTTGAGTACTTGCTATCTAGTAGCTGGAGCAGGGCTATAGCGAGCTGTCCGTCGTCATCGTAGTCATGAAATGTGGCGTGTGGTCCTGGTCGGCCAGGGTTGCGGCTGTGAAAGTCCTGGACTGACTCTTTACAGCTGCGCAGGTTATGGTAGGGCTGCCATGGCTCTGACTGATCGTCGCCCACCCATTCCACCTTGTATTGCAGCAATCCACGCTCACCTGTGTGAGGGTCGACGAGATTGCGTCGTATGCGAGAGTCTAGGACTTGGGAGACCACGTATTCTGTGACTCCATCGTTGCCAAGGTGGACTTCGGGGGGAGCGGCATCGCCTGGACGAGGTTGTCCGGGTAAGGCGTCGTCCTCGTACGGTTGTAGGAGCCATGGGTGGAAGGCTGGGAAGATAGCTTTAAGCTGAGGAGGGAGGTCTAGTTCGTAGGCCATGTTGTCAATGACCCGAGTGATCTGGTATGGCCCTATATTCTTGTGGTCTAGTGACTTAACTGGTCTTTCGGTTTTAATGTGGCGGGCGTTCAGCATCACCCAGTCACCCACGTCGAACCGTGGTGCTGGGTATCGGTTCGCGTCTGCGAACTCTTTCATCTTGTCTTGAGCCCATAGGATTTGTTGTCGCAGGAAGGTGCGCGTTGTGTCAATGCGCTGGGCGAGGGCATCAGCGTTCCGTTGCTGTTGGGCGATAGTAGGGTGGTTGTTAAGGGGGCGCAGAAGGTGAGCGGGCTCCAGTCCAGATCGCGGTTGGCGTCCCTTTGTGGCGAGGAACGGAGATAACCCGGTAGCTGTGCTAATGGCCGAATTGGCTTCAAATTCTGCTAAAGGCAATAGCTGGGCCCAATCCGTCTGTAGGTAGTTAACGTACGCCCTTAGGTATTGTTTGAGATCGGCGTTTGCATTCTCGGTCTGACCGTCGGTTTCTGGGTGATGGGAGGTAGAGAGTTTAGGGTGCGTTCCCACCTGGGCACACAGGCGATTCCAGAAATGTGACGTGAATTGGCGGCCCCGATCTGATACAAGAGTCCTTGGGTATCCTTCCTCTTTCCAGATGTATTCCATAAACTTGTCAACGACTGTAGGCACCTCTAGGTTTTCCATTGCAATGAACTTCTTCATTTTTGATAGACGGTCAACCACGACCATGATGTGTTGGTAAGAGTGACCACACCAGGTTGACTTAGGCAGTGGGGTGATGAAGTCGATGGATATGTCATCCCAGTACTGAGTAGGGACAGGCAGCGGGTGAAGCAAACTATGTTTGGCGGTGCGGTTAACCTTAGAGCGTTTACAGGTTAGACAGTTGTTGGTAAAGCGCGCAATTGTGTTCGTCATGCCCTGCCAGTAGTACCACTGGCTTACTTGTTGGTACGTCGTCGTGCGACCTCCGTGGCCGCCCGGTAGGCTATTGTGGATGTGTGCGATAATCCTCGTACGGAGTTTCTCACTGAAGGGGACGACAAGACGCCCGTTGCCAATAAATAGCTTGCCGTCGTTGCTGGCTTCTAGGTCGGCTAGTTCCATCCGAATGCCTTCCGCTATGAGGTAATGTGGGATACGGCGGTCATTAGAAGCGAGGGCTGTCTTTACATCGCGTAGGCGTGGGTCGCTAAGGCAGAGTTCTAAGAGGACATCGTCGAGGGGGCGATCGTCGGCTCCTTCGATGTCGTCATATGGGTCATGGGTGCCCTTTAGGGAGAAGCGGGCTAACCCTACCAACATTGTAGAGGTGGACAGTGAAGCGCCTTCGCCGCTCTCTTGCATCAGTGTAAGGACGGAGCCTAGGTCGCAAGGATTGTCGCCCAGGCATACTCCGGCGAGGCGTACAGCGGCATAGCTGCCGCCCCATCGGTTGGAACCTAGGATAGTCTGGCATTGGTGCTGGACCCGGTCGTCCGTGACTGAGTCTGGCAAGTCTCCTGTCCGGCGGGTAAGGCTGTCGGGTTTAGTACCCTGTTTACCAGGGCGGTATTGTATGCGAAAGTCGAATTCCTCTAGGAACTCAGCCCAGCGGGCTTGTCGACGATTGAGATTGCGTTTAGAGCGGAAGTATTCGAGCCCGCGATGGTCTGTTAGCACTTCTACCGCCTCAGGAACTCCTGCGAGTTCTGGCCTCCATTCCTCGAAGGCGCGGACTATAGCGAGGAGCTCCTTGTCGTATATCTCGTAATTACACTCTGTGGGCGACATCTTCTTTGAGAGATAGGCGACCGGCCGGACTGATCCGTCTGGCTGGACCTGGGAGAGCACTGCTGCGTACACATAGTCAGACGCGTCAGTTTCTACGATAGTCTTTAGGTCGGGGTCAAAGTGGGCGAGCACCACGTCGCTACAGAAGGCGACTTTCAGTGCGAGGAAGGAGCGCTCAGCTTCTTTAGTCATCTTGAATAGCTTAGGGTCGCCCTTAGTGAGATGCGTTAAAGGTTTTGCGATATCCGAGAAACCGCGTATAAATCGGCGGTAGAAGTTAGCAAAACCTAAAAAGGCTTGTACATCTTTTAGAGATTGCGGAAGCTTCCAGTCCTGAATGGCGCTGACTTTGTCTGGGTCCATTTTAATACCGTCGGCGGTGATGATAAGCCCGAGGAATTTAACCTCTGTCGTTATGAAGTCGGATTTAAGAATGTCCATAGGCAATCCGGCGTCTGCGAGCCGAGAGACTACCTGTACTAGGTGCTTCTCGTGTTGATCAAGAGTCTCACTAAAGATAATTACATCGTCTAAGTAAGCCATGCAGAACTCATCGAGATATTCGTGTAGGACGTCGTTAATGTATGCTTGGAAGGTTCCTGGGCTATTGCACATGCCGAAGGGCATAACAGTGTATTGGTACAGTCCGTAGGGCGTGATGAAGGCGGAGAGGTGTTTATGTTCTTCTTTGATGCGTATCTTATTGAATGCGGCGATCACATCTACCTTGGAGAAGTATCGCGATTTTGAGAGCTTAGCAAGCATGTCCCGGATTAGTGGTGGGGCATTTCGGTTCTTGACAGTGTGGGCGTTCAGACCGCGATAGTCGACGCATATGCGGATGCCTCCACCTGGCTTGCGCACAACAAGAAGGGGTGCGGCCCAGGCGGAAGTGCTGCGTTCGACGTGTCCTTTCTTGATCATGTCGTCCACATAGAGTTTCACCGCTCGGGCTTCATCTCGGGACATTGGGCGTAGACGCTGGAATGACGGCTTAGGCGGCTGGCCAGTATCGTCGAGCTTAAGTTCGATTTTGTGGTCAAGGTTACCCCGGAGCTCTGGGAGCTCGTCCGCTTCTTTAGGGTCAAAACCTTGGTACAAGGGATGAAGGACCTTAGGTAATCGCTTGAGGATTTCTTGTCTCGTCATGTGCGGACGTTCCATCTTGTCGCGGAACTTCTCGTAATCCTCTGGGAGCACTTTGGCTCCTGCAGCACGTAGGTGCTGAGTGTCCTCCCATTCCTTGTCGGATAGCTCGGCGATGCGGCCGATTTCATCGTAAGAGGTGATACAAATGTCCTGGTCGTGACAGACGGCTGCCGCGGCTACGCGGCTAGAGATGAAAGCTACATCAATTGGTGGGGGTGCTTTGGGGTGACGAGCAACCTTCCGGCAAGGGTCAGGGACCTGGGGGAGAGGTTGCTTGTGGTGCCGGCTGCTCTGAGTGTGACAGGGTCGGTGGTCGTGGATACAGTTAATTAGACAGTGCTCCGAGTCAAAACTTAGAGACATGTCTTTCCAGTTAACTCGGGGTTCATGGGTTTGGAACCAGGGCGTTCCTAGGATCATTTGGACACCAGAGAGTTTGGTGACATAGGCTAGGACATCTTCGGTGTGGGTGCCAAATGTGACAGTTACCCGGGCCATATGGGTAACGCCTGCCACTAGAGAGCCATCAGCGAGTTCTAGAGTAGCAGGCTGGGAGAGAGAGATAAGGTCGTATTTATGTGCGCGGGCATGAGAAGAATCAATGAAGAGAGAAGCACAACCAGTGTCACCCATGATTTCGACGTGTTGAGGAGAGGAGCGATGAGAAGAAATGATTCCTTTAAAGACTAATTGCTGGCCTACTAGAGGCTGATACTTATCACCGCGTATAGCGGCGGCAGCAATGGCCGAGACGGTGATCCGGGATCCAGTCTGGCTCTGTTGTTTTAGAGCCTTGACACGGTTCGCAATTGCCTGGAGTGTTGGATCCGGGTCGGACTCATCGTCAGAGCTGACTTCTACGGTAGGGGAAAGGGCTAGGGTCAAAGAATCGTCGACAAAGCGGTTAGGATGTAACTCCTCTTCTTCTTCGCTGTCTTCGACAGAAGGGGCAGGGGGAATTAGGGGATGTGCTGGTGGTTGTACTGGGGGTGGCTTCTCATGCCGGGGAGGTCCCTGGGGGCGACTGTCGCCAGGGACTAAGCATTTTCCGAAGGTTGGGGAGAGGTGGAGGTGACGCTAGCTGCGGCGCCCTTGACCTTAGGGCGGGCTGGCTCTCCGACGGGTACGCCATTGTTAGCAATAGCCTTCTCAAGAGCGTCCTGAACTTCGGGGTACGAGTCAAAAGAGGCGACCGGCTCCTTAGAGCAGTAACCTCCTGTAGCCTTAAAGGTGTGATTCTTCTTAAGACAGTTGAAACAACGATTTAAGTGACGGAGGACCTTGACCTGGATGTCAGAGCGGCCACGGGGGCCAGATCCCGAGCTGGATCCACCGTTCCGGGGTCCGTTAGAGGGAGTGGACTTATTGCCGCCTGCTCCGCCGCCCCCGCCACCTTCTAAACTCTGATTTCCTCTACGGTTGCCAGTTGTAGTGGCTCGTTGTGGGTTGGACTGTTCGAGGAGACGAAGGGTTTGACAGAAGTCAAGGTAGGTGAGGCTAGACTCTAAGACTTTCATGGCGGTCATGTCGCGCCACCATACAGGCAGCCGGTTGCGCATGAACTGGATCTTGAGGGTGTCGGGCCAACGAAGGGCCGAGGTGCCGACGTTAAAGCGGGCGATGTACTCACCCATAGACTCTGTGGGCTTCATAGTGGAATTCAAGCTCTCATACCAGGACTGAGCTTCGATGCTAGTGTTCAGCGACTTATAGACAGAGTCAAGGATAGACCAAGCCTCGTTACTGTGCGCGAACTCAGCTCCAGGTTCGAGGTACCCATGCTGGAGGCATCCGAAAGCCTTGTCCTTGGTCTTCTGGCGGATGTAGCTAAGCTTCTTGGTTTCTGAGGCGAACTCGTAGGGATAATCAGCAAACCAATCGGTGACGTCCATCTTCCACTTAAGATAGTCGGCGGAAGTGGTGCCATTACCGGAGAATGCCTCAGGTTCAGGTTTCTTTGGGCGGGGGTGGCGACGGTGATCGTACTCTTCGTCATCGGAGTATCGATTTTTCGTAGACTGAGTGCCGCGCTGACCTTGGCGAGAGAGGGCTGGTAGAGGACTGTTGGCATCGTCGCCTTCAGAGTCCGATGAGTCTGGGGGGGAAGGGCCTGTGTGGCCGCGCCTGGCTGACCTAGAAACCTTGGCTGTAGCCTGTTTTAGCTTAGCCTGGAGTTTCTTCATATTCTCTAATGTGGCTCGGTGGGCGTCGTGCTCCTGTCGGTATTTGTCCTTGTAGGCCGATTTGCGGGCGGCGAGGTTCTCTGCCTGGTTCTGGGCCTGCTGGTAGTCTTCGTGAGCGCTTCCGCGCGCGTCGCGGAGCTCCTCGGTTAGGCGTGCAACTGTAGCGACGGAAGACTGAAGTTGGTCCTGGCAGTTCTTAAGGACAGCCTGTGTGTCAGCGACGTCGCCCTTGTAACCCTCAAGGATATCTTGGGTTTCTTGATCCTTGCTGTGGAGGTTTTCGATGACCTTGTCTCTTGCGAGAAGCTGTTCGCCTAACTGATCGCTGTGTTTGCGCTCGTTGCCGAGGTCTCTCCACATATCGCGGATTTGATCATATAGTCTGTTCAACGCCTTAGACTGGTCATTATTCGTATGTCCGATAGGCGTAGTGTGGAGAGAATCTTTGCGTTGGGGGTTGCCTTGCGCATCGTTCTCCCAGAGGTCGAAGGTGGTCACGTTATCCTCGCGAGGAATGACGTAGGACGTAGAGGGCTGTCGCTCGAATTGCGCACGCTCGTAGGCGTGTTCAACTAGGGGTTCTAAGGACGCGGCAGGTCCAGGTGAGAGCCACGCTTCAGAAAAATAATCAGTGTCGACTTCGGCCTGAGACTGGCGCGAGTAGCGGCGTTGCTCGCTCATTAATGGGTAGCGTATGCCCAATGGGCTGCTCAAGTCGGCGCGATGGTCTATGAAGGCCACGCCCTTCTTGCGCGTAGTGATTGTGGTCGGAAGCTCGTCGTCAGAGTCGTCGGAAATGTCCAGTGGCTGCTGTACACTATCGGTGTGGCCGAGGGAGGGGTAGCGTCCTGGAATGCGTACGTCCCTGTCGAAGAGGTTGTTCTTGCCGTGTGCTCGGGGGAGGCCGCTGGCGCGACGCTCTAGGGTTTCTTTGGTCTGGGAGGTGGGCGCCGTCGCACGCGAAGGCTGTTCGGGGGCTGAGTTCTCGTGGCTCTCGTCCATACGGGAGCGGTTCATGGTTGCGGCCGTCTCTCGCATGAAACGAGGGACGCCGAGGGCAGGATTTCGGTGTTCTGTAGTGCTGGGGCGAGTATCGCGCGATGTCTCCTCTGTGAGGAGTTCCACGATCTCGGGATGAGGGGAGTCACGAGCCCCCAGAGGGTTCATGACTTGTTCGACGGGGCGCTTCTCGTGAGGCGCACCGTTGGGCCAGTGTTCGGTGACTGCAATTACGTGTAAGGGTCTCACATAGGTCAGGTATTTGAAACTGTGTTGAATTACAAAGTAATTGCAGTGCAGAGCTTGTAAGAAGCTCTGCGCGGAATATATCTAAGTGGGTGTGTGCATGGGCCACCAAACAGGTGGCTCGTGCGCGAACATCAAAACAACGCTAAGGCATCTGGCAGGTGGCCTGTGCGGGGCAACGGCCCAAAACCATCACATGTAAGTTTAAAGCATTACGCATCCTGTTAGATACACAATATAATATAACTAATCTGTGCTAATACAATAAGACCGCAAGTTTGCAGCAGGCAACACCAATATTTAATAAGAACGTACGTACGTTATAATATCAGGTTTTCTATTGTTATGCTAGATTGATTTATGAAGGCCGAATGGCGTTGTGACTTCCTGTAACGGGCTGAGCTCTAGGTCAAATGACTAGGCCGCTGGCCTAGTCGCTTCCTTCCTTCTATCACTCCTTCCGCCACAGCACGTGGGCCGTGCGTCAACCATGACCTTGTCTATTGTTGGCCTTTACACGAGTGCTTTGTCGTGTTGTCATGCAGTCTTAGCAGCGCCTAACTTAACTAAGATCTTCCCGTGTGCTGCCTTGAATACTGTGTAGGCAAGAGACACCCACGTCCCTTTGCCGCAAGATAGTCTTTTCTTCAACCACAACTAAGGTCTTTCAACATTTCGACATATCTAACAGAGCACTCCGCGCCTTCCATTTCTGTCTTAGGGTGTACACCCACTCGTCCAAGAACATCCACAGCCAAAGAACTGCAAAGCAAAGGGCGATAACAGCGGTCCCTACGATGCTAATCGCGCTGAACCAGCGAGATGCATGCCAAACAGAAATCCAGTGCACAGCCAGCGACTGATCAGCTGCAAGTGCGACCTGCATGGAGTTGAGAATGGTAGACACCACAGCAAACACGAACAGCACAGGCCCGTATAGTCGCGCAAAATAGTCGCCATACTGTCCATGCACCTGCTCAAAGTGAAACTTGCGCAGGAGGAACGGGGCGTAGAAGTTAAGTCGCGTCAGCCTCAGCTCTCCGAAGCAGTACCGCCTTGATACAGCTGAGTCCTGAATGCCGTTCAGGTCCGAGGTGAAATGGCAGAAGGATGCCCAGTCCACATCCTTAGGAATAAGGCGAAGGCTGTCCTGCTGAGCAAGGTAAAAGTCTGATTCGTGCCTGATCAAGTAGCGGTACGTCCGCAAGAAGCCAGCCGCGGCCGCGCGAAGGTTCCTGCTACCATCGTCCGGCGATCCTAGCTTTTGATTAAAATACACCTCCCAGAAATCGTGCGACAGAAGATATCGTGGAATAGGTTTGATGAATATGCGGTCGTGTATCCACACAAGATGCAGACGGGCCTCTTCTGTTACGATGATCTCGCGACCTTTGACGCGCTGGCGGTGTAGAGGGTTGATATTCGCACTCGACAAGGTCGTCATGATCCACAGACGCGGTGCCATTCTGTCGAGATCTTCTGACCATAGGTCGTCATAAAGGAACTTTTTTGTACGATTGAGGTCTTTGAGTAGAACAGAAGGCTGACCAGGCAAGGTTTCGCTCTGCGCTGCGCCGGGTCCCGGCACTAGATCGTGAACAAGCTGATTTGCTTTAGAAAAGGGTGGCATGACTGTTCGAAGAAGATATAGAAAGGTCTAGTCTGTAGCTGTGAACTCTTTTAGGCGATGTCTAGATGGCAGCATTGGCCTATAGAGGACAGCTAGATGAACTCAGCCGCACCGCGCGCCAGCAGACGCAGGTGGCAGTCAGCCTGGCGCCGCAGCCTGGTCCCTCAGCCTTGTCACTTTAGCCTGAATACTACTTGCACCACTTCTCGTCTATTTCGCTCTTACTCTCCACTCTATAATCTTCTGTTGCAACAATCTTATCTATTAATAGCTTAAGCAGACGCTGCTTCCTGACAGGCGTAATGGTGGGTCGGCCGCAGAACGAAGCGTGCCAAGGCTGACGCGGAACTAGGTCCGGCCCGTTACTAACGATGACATCGGCCTGAAGATACTCCGCGAGGCACCGGTAGAAGCAGAACAAAGCATCGAGTACGTTCACTTCTAACATTTGTCTAGTCAAGCTTCTACTAATCTATCTAGCATCGTCGCAGTCCACGGCCTCGGCGCCCATCCCGATGACAGCTGGTGCACGAATGCGGGCACTAAGGAAAGCCTCCAGTGGGTCAACTGGCTCGAGGAGGAAAGCATGCTGCCGGCGGTGGCGCCGAACGCGCGCATCATGCGATACGGATACCAGTCGCAGTGGTTCGGCAAGGAGATGATGCAGCAGAGCGTGTCTACAGTGGCAGAGCGGTTACTGAGAGCCTTGAAGCGAACGAGAAAGGTACAAACTGTTTTTGGCGGGTGTTGAATGTCTGCTAAGTCGATTAGGATGTTCCGTTTCGCCCACTAATGTTTGTAGCGCACTGCTTTGGCGGACTAGTTGTGCTTAAGGTAAGGAAGTAAACTCGACAGCAAAGCGCTAGCAGCTAAGGTCTTCCTAGACACTGTTAGAAGCCGAACAATATCAGAAGGACTGGCCTGGCGTGTTCTTATCGACGACCGGCCTGATCTTTTTCGGTACTCCGTTTCGAGGCGCGGAAGGGATGAATCAGATGGAGATGCTGGAGGCGGCGCGCCGCGAGTACCACGAGGATCAGGTGCAGCCCACCGCTCTTGAGGTGCTGCAGCCGGGGAATATGTACCTAAGAGAGGTGGTCGACAGTTACTTGAAGAAGACGCGGGGCCAAACAAACAAGATACAGATTGCATGCTTCTTTGAGCTCAAGTCGAGCAACGTGGGAAGGATAGTGGGAAAGGAGGATCGGACGGTAGGTGCTCAAGAGTG